CCCGCCAGGGTCCTGCTGGGCCACCGCGGCCAGGGCTCGGCTTTCGCCAGCCCCCGCCTGGCCTCGCAGACCCCGCCGAAACCTCCCCACCCCCTCGCTCCTCTGCCGACACGCTCCTTGGGCCAAACCCGCTCTTCTCCCGCCGACCTCTGACCCCGTGCCCGTGCCCTCGCCAGGGGCAGGAAGGCTCCTCCCTGGTTTCACCAGGCCGAGCGGGTGTTTTCCAGCCCGTGCCTGGAAAAGCCCGGTGCGGCAGGTGCCGGAGCGGCAGAGGGAAAACACAGCAGCCAGCCTAATGGGCAGGGAGGAAATGTATGCAAATGTATTCAGAAAGGAATCCGGTGATGCTAATAGACTTGTTAGTCCTCTCAGTACGCACCGGGAATAATATTTTTACACTTTAATCATTAAGGATTTTACTCCAAGCGAGCCCATAAGGGCGGAGGGAGAGGCGGACGAGACGGCTGAGGAGAGGGCAGTCAGAGCCGGCCCCGGGACAAGAGCAGGAGGGGTCACGCGACCCCCAATAACCAAACTCGACCCACGGCCGGACGCGAACTGCTTGGGCAGGAGGTGCCAAACTAGAACACCCGTTGGGCTGCACCGCAGCCGCTGCACACGAGCCCTCAGGTAACGAGCATCTAACGACCGCCAGCCCGAGGCCGGGGTGCCCCTGCGCTGCCGTGTGACCTCCCTGCGCAGCCCCAAGGTTTATCCCAAGTTGGGCCGGTCGCCCGGGCCCCTTCCCAGATACACCGAAATTTTCTAACCATCACCACCAAGCTAATTTCTGTTGAATCGACAAAAACGGCAGCGCTTAAGTGCTTCTTTCACCCAATGCGCGTATTGGGTGGTCTGGAATCCACTTACAGGAATCTGGGATTCCTATTTCCAGCGGGGTTTGTTTCAAACCAGCCCTGGGAGGATCTTTTCTATTTTTCCTCCAGGGCTGGGCTCTGGGATCCGAATCGTCGCAGCCAGGACCCCCGAAGGTGGAGAGGGGGGCTGCCAGGGAACAGCTGTGCATGGCGGGAGGGAGAGCTTTGGGTGGGATGTGGCATAGAGCAGTGGTGGCCCGATAGTTCAGATCTCTCCCCGCTTCTTCCTTTGCTCCAGGAGACAAGGTGGAATACCAGGGAGAAAGTGCCGGAGGTGGGAAGGGCGGAGGGCAGGAGGCAGCCAGCTGGGAGTGGGACAGAGGTTAATGCTCCCACAGGGAATGTCCCTGGAAAGCCTGGCCCTCCACAGAGGGTTCGTTCCCATGGCCAGAGGATGGGGATCCCTTTCCCTCTGCCTTTTCCCCTTTAATGACAACTTCCGCGTGTAACTTGAGACAAGTTGGGAAGAAAAAAAGGAGGAAGGGAAAAAAAAACCACCAGAAAAAGGGAAAACCGGCGCAGTTATTCCCGCCTCCGCCTCCTCCTCCCTCTCCTCCCTGGCCAGCCTGGAGCCACGTCACCCAGCCTGGTCCGGGGCTGCTCGGCAGGCTCAGCCCGGGGCGCTCCAGGGGCCAAAACCCTGACTTTTGGTCCGTGGTGGGGAGAGAGACTCCACCGCGGGAGAGAAGCAAGGAAAGGAGTGATACGGGTTGGGCACGCGGCAGGGAAGAGGGGCTGGCAGCCAGGGGAGCCTGAACTTGGCCCGGAGAGAGGACTCCATCCCGGGAAGAAAAGGGCAAGTTGAGCCGGAGCAGAGCGGTCGCTGGGTCGAGGCTCGGGGGAGGAAAACTCCCTGCCCTCGCCCCCCCAGGTCTGCAGACAGCACCCCCCTTCCCTTCGCCCCGGAGGAGCCCCCGCCGGCACCATGCACGTCTTCCGC